GTAACTTTGTTCTGCCTTTTCAAACTTAAAACTGCACATGATGAAGTATAGATTGTGCCGTCACATGACGTCGCATATTATTTGCTTATAGAGCATTTATTAACGAAAGGCACTGTAGAGTAGATGCAATTAGTTTTTGTTTCTTTTAGCTGTCTGCAAGAACTTAATTTCACGAAAACTGCAGGCCTGTTATAGACATCTTTTTTTTTGGTTATGGCGCTTAGTAAAATTTCATCCCGATAGGTATCGAGGAAAGCAGCCGCCATCGCATCCGTAATGCTGCAAAAAAAGTTTTTAAAAAACCAAACTTTGTAACAACCATTTCCGTTACATGTGAACAGCTGTTATATATCAGCGCACTAGCAAAGTTTAACAAACATTTGTGAAATTGTTGTAAAGATTTCGTTTTTCCATAGCATTTGAATCAAAAATCGATGTAAACTTATACAGATCTAACGAGTTCGTCACTTAAAGGTGCTTAGACACAGATTTGAAGTTAATATTTTCTCAAATTTTCTGTATAATATCACGACTTACATATTGCAATAGCATTTCACACGAAAATATAATTAAAAACTTATTTTATCTGGAAATTATTGGAACTACGAATTCCTGGACGCGTTTGATTAACACATCCTTGCACTTTCACAGATTTTAACTTTATCTTTAATATTTAAAAAGAAGCGATTTTGTTGTGTATTAATGAAAAACATTACATCTATAATCCAGAAAATTCAGAGTAGAAATGTGCGAAAGCAAACCCCCTCACTAATATCGTCAGTCCGTGCGCAGTGTTGTATACAGAGTTTAACAAATTGAATACACCCGTGAAACGTAAACTGTTTTTGTAAACAGGGCACGAGCTCTGTTATTGTTAATGTTTACGATTCACCGAGTGTGTTCAATTGTTAAAGTCTGCACACACCACTGAGCACGGACTGACAATACTGTGAGTGGGTTTTGCTTTCGAACATTTCTACTCTGAATTTTCTGGATTATAGTTTTAATATTTTTCATTAATACACAACAAAATTGCCACTTTTCTTCAGTATTAAGAATAAAATTAAAATTTGTGAAAGTGCAAGGATGTGTCAATCCAACGCGCCCAGAAATTCGAAGTTTTAATAACTTCGAGATGAAATAAGATTTTTATTATATTTTAGTATGAAATGCTATAGTCATGAAATTATACAGAAAATTTGAGAAAATATTAACTTCAAATCTGTGTCCAAGCACCTTTAAGGACGTCAAACATTTATAGGCGTGGATGCAGGAATTTGCGTGAGAAGTTGTATTTTTTTTTTCTGATGGTTATTTTACATTTTATTTATGTATTAAATCTGTTTCTTTAATTTTTCTTTATTTTCTCTCTCATTTTTTAAAAATCTTTAATTTAACCAATGAAGTGAATCCACCTCAAGCCATGTTGCATACCCATAGTTTCTAAATAGATTCCAAGTTTCCTTGCTGGGAAAACTGCATTGGAATCCGTTTATGGTCATATATTTCAGTAACCAGAGGCGGTTGCAACAATGTGAACATCCATTTTTGTCATAAATAGAATAAATCATAAAAGATATTAACACTTTGTTTTTAGACAAGCTTGGCAATTTTAATCTAAAAAAAAAAAACTGTATTTCTACGTGTATGTTTATTTTTATTGCGAGAAAAAGTTGTGTCTTTTCTCAATTATCGCATGGAATGCTGGTAGCGAAGGAATTCTGGGAAGGTTTCGCACAAAAAATTGCCTGACGAATATACAGATATCTCAAATTCCCTTTGTTCTAACACGTTAATCTATTGATCTAGTCCATTTGCGCCGCACGCTATTATTTCCATGCTCACATTCACAAACAATTTTATTCAAATTAACGTAGAATTGTAAGTTTCTTAAAAACCATTCTATAAGGCGATTTGCATCTCTACTCATTTGTTTTGTAATCGGTGGATACAAATGCCAGGTGGATTCCCTGGCCAAAGACAAGATCGACACAGTCACGTGTTCACGCGTATTGTAAAGTAAAAAAAAACCCTTTGTGATCATTTAAATGCATATTTAGAGATGCTGCTCGCTCTCCTAGTCCTTAAAGTATTGATGTTATTAGCAAAACATTGCACAGACTACCCATTATTATGTACATTGTATATCTTTGAAATAACAAATGAACCAATATCAAGTTATGAGGTGAAAACCCACCTCCTTTCTAATTGAGAACATGACCGGAACATATTTCATAGGTTCTAACTTTTGCTTTTAAAAAAAAAAACAATAAAAAACGTTTCCAACTGTTTTTTTTTTTCATCGTCCATTTAATATTACATCGTAGATTGACCTGAATCACGTGTTCGAAGTAAACGTGCAGCAGGCCAACAAACTTCGCTTTTCATTCAATGATTTAGAAATTGTTCGTGGTAAGTTCCGCTGTGCAAAATTATAGCAATAGCTATATAAAGTAAACAAGAGGCCCAATGGCCTAGACTCGATCTTCTGATAAATTGTGCAACCCTAACACTTCTATTCTAAGCCTCTTAATATCTTAAATATTTAAATAATGCCATGAAATTCCCAAAGTAAGCCAATGTATTCTATGTTTAGTTGACACAGTCCGTTGACCTAAGATCCATCAACTGACAAAGATTCATGATTATAATCTTCTTATTATCTTAAATTAAATTTAAATATTTAGATAAGTGTGAAAATCCAATAATAAGTCACAGTGACTTACTTTTTGGTTAATATACTCTAGGATCAAAGATGCATCATCTAACAAAGTTTGATGATTCTAAACCTCTTATTATTCAAAATATTTCGATAAAGCCGTGAAATTCCAAAAGTAAGTCACCATGACCTACTTTTTGGTTCTACGCCAATTAGTATCCGAAATATTTAAATATATAAGTTTATAATCAATTAGCTGTACACATTTTACATCTGAAGGTAAATGGATTGAAAACTAGCTCCTCGTGATATAATTATGATAAATTTACATAAACATAACATAAGTTACATAAGATAGATTTACAAGAACCTGTTAGCGCGTTACGTCTGCTCAAATGGTTGAATTTTGCCCGATACCTCGGATTGAATCAGCCTCAAGCCGCAGCCAATTACAGGAATTCAATCGGGGAAAAATCTGAGAATAATGGCTGGATCGAATAGAGTTGCAAATTGTTCAACTTTAAGTTGAAATGTTTTTGAAAGAATGGACTAAATGTTCCTTTTAAGATTTTCATAGCTAACTGTTATATGCTAAAAGAATGATTGTATGATTGAATGAGGGATGTTAAAAGAACGATGGTGATGAATAGCGAGTAATGTTTGGACAAGAGATAAAAATAGTAAAGAGGATTTTTTGGATGCTAAAATTTTACTAAATTTTTTACCAAAAAGACGTTTTTTGATAGAATATTTTGCCTAAATGTTTCCTGCTTTCTACATGGTAAAATAAAAAGTGATTTTTTTCATATTATTCACCATATCTAACATAGCGTGCATAAAAATTGAATGGCATGCACTAATCTACAAGACATTTCACCTCTCTCTCTCTCTCTCTCTCTCTCTCTCTCATAATAGGGATGTCAACGATCAGATAAACTAAAAGGAGACATATACATTCAACAGAAGGTGAAATATTAAAGTCCTATCTTTTCTCATTTATAAGCTTTTATCACAGACAGATTGACAAACTGGCGAATGGGCACCCAGTGTGTCGGGCGAACAGACGAATGAGATTTAATGTCCCCAAGCTTTCGCGAAAGCGGAGGGGGGGGGGGGCAATGAATTACCGAGGAGGCTTTCAAATATTCAATGATAAACTTCAGAGAACAAAGAATACTTATTATATCTCTTATAAAACAAGATGTGTATGTGAAACACTGATACCCCCGTGTGGCAGCTTAATGCGAAGGTTAAAGTTTCTCAAATGCAATTCAAACTCCAAGGTCAAGAATCAAGAATTCAAAATTATTGTTGCCCAAAGAAAGGACGTGTGTCAATGGGTATACCTGGTAAATATGAAAGCCCAAGCACAAACCATTCACAAGTTATAAGGTTAATAATTTTTGAAGTGCGTCATACTCCAATGTTAAAGTCCAGGGGTCAAAATTAATGGTATGCAGGTGAAGATCTTTTCATAAGTAATACACACGCAAAGTACAAATGCCCTAGCACCAACTGTTTAAAAGTTATGGTGAAGGTTAACGTTTTTCAAAAGTAGGTCAAACTCCACGGTCAAAATTATTGGTATCCCAAGGAAGGTCGTATCACGAGGAATACACCTGTGAAATTTGAAAGTCATAGTACTAACTGTTCAAAATTTATGGTCAAGGTTAAAGTTAATAAGAGTAATGTTTTGCAAAAGTGGTTCAAGAGGTCAAATATGTTAGTACCCAAGGAAAAATCTTGTCACAATGAATACGCATGTGAAATATGAAAGCTATAGTTCCAACCAATCAAAGTTAAAGTTTTTGCGGACAAACAGAACAAAGAGACAGACGGACGGACAGGGCAAAAATTACATACCCCCGAATCTTCGATTACGGGGGCATTTGAAAAATCTCTGCACAGATGGAAAGAAAGATGTTGGAATCATTCAAGAAGCAGATCATGAATACACTTTTTGTAAGGATAATAGATTATGAATTAGTAAACTATCAGGGATTTCTGTTCGAAGAAAATTTCCATTTGAATGATAACTTGACAAATATTTTAATGTGAGAATATACAAATTATTTTAGGTAAGATTCCCACTTTTTCTTCACTACTTTGTACTTTTGTCAATTTTCCCTTCTTGCATCACCCTGTCTCTTTATATCGTATAGGGGTATTATAAATTTCCATTAGAAATACCTTTAATAATATAGTTTTTAAAAAAGTCAATGAGTCTATACATATTTAACTTGTAAGAATGCTTAAAAGGGTAAAACATATTGATTTGCTTCGTGTCCAATTAACTGAAATATTCAATCTGGAGAAACTCAGGGAAAAAAGTAATGGAATATTTCTAATTTAATATTCGTCAATCTATTTAATAAACACTATTTACATATCAAATACTGCTTATGCAAACGTTCTTAACTTCCAATCTCCATGGAAAACTATAACGTATATAAATGATATTGTTACATGAAACAACATTATTCATAAATCGCATGTTGTTTGAAGATGTGCCGGGAGTGATTTTCTTCTACATTTTTCATGGCTGTTTTATTTTTCCAACACTCTATTCGATAAGCGTAGAACAATTTCCCTTCCTCTCTGCGACTGGAAGAACGTCTTCATAAGGCGGAAGATACGACATCCGGTCACGAACCTGGAATACAGTCACCAATTTACATACATGTTTCATTTCTCGAATTAACTTTTAATATAATAAGCTCTATAAAGTAACCACATAGTTCTAGCAATAGTGGTTTTCCGTGATTCTTTAGTCATTTTTCAGCCAGCAAATAGTGAGACAAAGGATTGGTGTGTTATAATGATTTTTGTTATTTTGTGTTGTGTTTCTTATTAATTGTAAGTCTGTCAGCAAGTTGTCTCAATTCATTATACATTATTATTATATTGCGGACTCCAATGTCATTTGTAAAATAGTGGACCTTGCACAGCCACCGTAGGGGGCAGAGCTGGTTTGTACTTGCTCCGACAGAATATTTATTAACTTCATCCTAATCACAGATAATAAGCATAGAATATGACGAGTAATTGTGTGACTAATTGTCGTGTAGAAAGTTCGGTGCTGAGTATATATAATGTGCTTTAGGGAATGTGTTGTAGGGAACTATGGTATATAGCTGTGGTTTGCTATCAAATAAGGAGAATCAGATAATCAAGAACTAGTCTACAACTTGAGGATAAAATTTCATTGTGCTGAGAGGAGGGTGTTTTGGCAACAGTGTTTGGATGTTGATCCCCCTATAGATAAAGCAATAAAAATTACCAATGACACGAACAATTAAAAATTTTCGAATTTTCGGGACGTCCTGTCCCTTCCTCAGGACAAAGAAAAACGTTATGAAGTCATAAAAACAAAGCAAATAGAGAAACATAAAAAAAACAACTAGCACTACAACTAAACTACCAAACACTACATATCTATAATGTTACATGTTTAATGTGAAAGTTTATAACCAATTGTTAAGAAAGAAAACCGCATCGCTGTGAAAAACGTCCGGTCTGTCGGGTATATGTCACTGAGCACAATTAACATTTTTGAATTAAAATAACTTTTTGATATAATATGTTGACGGTGCGACCGTTGGGGCGAGCGCATTGTTCACTTTTAGAATTTTTAAGATCCGCCTCTTCAGACCGCACGAGACTCTTGGTACGTCTAGACTGTGACGTCAAATGACGTCGTATGTTAGCTGCATTTCCATAAACGAAATTTGGAAAGTGCAAAAATTTATCAAAGAACGTTTAATCTATTATCTGTGTGCAATATCCATTAAATTAAGGTGAGTTTATTTTTCGCGAATTTTTAGTTGTTTTACCGCGAGAACGACGTTGTCGTTAGAGCTCACAGTGACAAGCAGCGCCACGCTCGCTTTTATATATCAATTTTGGACGTTTATCTGTGAAATTCTTTATCTGCTTTTATTATGTGCTTCTTATTTAATTAATTGTGTCAGAGTCTTTTTATCTAATTCCTTTGAAGCAGGATTATGACATTCAAATTGACACTCAGCGACTCTGTCAAAAGAATTGATACTTCTCAGGTGTTAATGCCTCAGGATCTGTTAATCCCGTATCAATAACTTTGTTTATAAGATGTTTTAACTGTGTGGCCGTTGGGGCTAGCACAGTTGCCTATACACAGCTTACACTTGTATCTTCAAACCGCACGAGACACAGTCTAGACTGTGACGTCACGATGTCGGAATTTACGGAGACAGCCGAGCGTCTGGTCAAACGAGACTGCAGGTCTTGTGCAATATTTAATGAAATACGTTGTAGAGTAGATGCAATTCATTTTTGTTTGCAAAGAAAGAAAAGTAAACGTATTTCTTGGTAAGGAGCAATTATCTTTGGTCTTGTGTATGTTTTGTAATAATTTGGCATGGATTCCTGGCATTGGAGGAATTCTGGGAATGCTGCACAAGAAAATTTGCCTGACTAATGTACAAATTTCAATCCGAATTTCCTCTATTCTTACACGTTAATCTACTCAGCTCGCTGAGCTCGCTATATATATATATATATATATATATATATATATATATATATATATATATATATATACGCAGCTCTGTTAAGGCTGCATAAAGTGGGCGGGGCCTAATTTATACGGGAAAAGATTACTGTGACATCACACAAATATAGCAATTCCTCACAATAACAGAAAATGAAATAATTTGCGAATCTAAACTGCATAAGAGTAATGAACTACATCAAAACTTACCATTGCATTCATTTTTGTCGCTAGTTAAATCCCACACAGGAAGATATAACAAGTCACTGATCGCAATGCACTTGTCGACATGACGTCATCATGGTAAAGTTTGACGCATTTTATGTGCATTGAGAGGCGGATCAAGTAATTTTTTCACAGAAAAAAATGCATTTTTTTTTATTAAACAGAATATTATTTGCAAATCTTAGGTTGACCATTAATACAAATCTGAAACGTTTGTTTAGTGCCATTATTTAAAAACTATCGAGAGAATGTATTGAATTAATTCTACCGTGTTTTTGTCTACAGGGTGTGCATGTTTCACGCCGAGGTGCTTCATTAAATCGCCTTTTCACAAGGGCATACACTTAATAGATCTTGACCATTTTTTGAATACACATAACGGACGCTTTCCTTAACTTAAAAAGTGCTGCTGCTTTCCTGAAATCGACAGCATAACTTAATGAATACATAAAATACTTGGTAAAGGTCACACATATTTTGACATTACCCAGATAACTTGAAATTTAAAGTAATAAAATACGAATTCTATTTAAAGCAGCAGCACTTTCCACAAACTACAAGTTCTGTAGAAACAATCTATTACTTTAATTTTTAATTTCAACTAGGGTATGCCCTTGCGATATTGAAATTTGTTTGTGACCTACATACAGTACACATTACATGCATTTATCACGTGACTATCAAATAACGTGACCGAACAATTCAGTACAGAGCGGGGTATACAATGTTATTTCAAAGAATGTTAAAGTAATTAGATAATATAGTACCTTTACAAAAATAAATTTAGTTTAAAAAGGTATGTATTTTTTGCACGTTTATATTCTGTTGATTGTGCTGCGTATATATATATATATATATATATATATATATATATATATATATATATATATATATATATATATATATATATTTAAGCATTGAATCATTATTTTTTGAAAGATAAAATCTCATAACTGCAACGGTGTGTGCAAACAAATTGAGTACCGCGCGTTGTTTGCATACACCGTTGCAGTTATGAGACTATATCTTTCAAAAAATAATTATTCAATGCTTATATTTACATTTTTTAACTCCTTGCCGTGACTGCAAATGTGGCTTATATTTCAAAATCCCTGTATTATCCTTCGGGTAAGTTAAAATTGATGGAAGAGCCGTTGTAACAGCTTCTGTTTAGTGTGAGTGTGAATTTTGATTTTTTTTTCGCTTATGACGTTGCACTTTCACGGCGTTCAACGTTTGTGACGTCAAAATAAAACGCATACTTTAACCTTTTGACCCCCTGTCCGTGTTATGGTGTTTTGAATGCCGTAGCTTTCCTCACACTTTATAAGCGAAATACATATTGAATGTAAATATATATTTAAGAAATAAGGTATCATTTTTAAACATCTATCGGGATTTAGATACGGGTTGGTCACGAGATCAAATTCCATAAAGCCCGAAGGGCTTTATGGTAAATTTGATCTCGTACCAACCCGTATTTATATCCCGATAGATGTTTTAAAATGATACCTTATTACTTATATTTACATTTGTGACTTATTCATATTATATATTAGCCTGATTATAACCTTTAACGCGTGAAATGATTTATTTTTTCAAACTCAACGGCACGAGTTTGATCTATTGATTGCGCGTCAACCCTTTATGACGTCACTGAGAAATTGCGTCCAACGTTTATGACGCGAGGAACCCATGTTTATACGGATATAGATACGCGTTGCTTTTAATAGTGTTATATAAAAGAAAACATTTGCAAATGTGTGTGTGTATATATATATATATATATATATATATATATATATATATATATATATATATATATATATATATATATATATATATATAATTTAATAGATATATGTTAGTGTTGTCAAATCGGACGGTTTTTAGTAACCGGTTACTCGCTTACTTTCCGATCGAGTACCGGGTTACTTGGATGGTTTTTCTTTAGACCACTAAACACTCGGTAAATGTACATTTACTTTATAGTAACTGTAATATATTTAACGTCGTTACATACTTTTCTTATTATTTAAAGATAAAAAGAATGAGCGACATTTACAAACAAAGTAACATTTTTCTACTGCTTTACTACGTGCATGTGAAAGATTTCTATATATATCAAAGTAACCATGTAGCATTTTTACCACCGCATTGTTTGACGGTTAACCGAGTACTCGTTGACAACAACCTAAATATATATATATATATATATATATATATATATATATATATATATATATATATATATATATATATATATATATATATATATATATATATATATATATATATATATATATATTTATATATTTATATAGATATAGATATATATATATATAGATATATATAAGATCAAGAAATTTATTTGCCGAAGTAAATTTAAAGCACAGTGTCAAATATATTTCACTCCTTATACTAGTATTCTCTCTCTCTCTCTCTCTCTCTCTCTCTCTCTCTCTCTCTTGCAGTATTCGAGTTCAAAAGGTGACCAAAATGACACAAAAATTTGTGCTATACTTGAGAAGGTGCTACGTATTTAACATGTATATTGTTGATTATATAATGTCGACCTTAAAATCAGGTTTGTGATATGTATAAAATCACATATATATAGATGCTGAAAAGAACGAGAAGGATTTGCTTTTTAGAACCAATGATATCAGGTAGTAAATAGGTGTTGATGTGATTTGTTAACAAAAAAATGAAAGCAATACCAAAAAGCAATTAAGCAATGCAGAAGTGCATGTAGTGTGAAAATAATTTCACACAAAATATATACTAGGTGACAAGCATAACATTCAGTTCTTACTCCTATACAAATTCCATCAGAAATACGTTTTTAATTTACCATTCACCTATCACATAACTAGTTTCCTGTCATTTCAATTACATACATTATACAACGCTTACTTGCTGATACAAAAGCCTGTGAAGTATTTCCTTTACATGCATGTTTACTGCAAAAGTACCCGTACAACATATTTTTGTCGGTGATACTACAAAATAATAAAGTGTTAACATATACTTTACCTTTTCAGCCATTTTGAATACTCTTATAAGATTTCTTCCAGCCAATTTTTCAAGATCTTCTGTTGACCATCCTCTATGTACAAGCTCGGCAAAGAGATTAGGGTATTTAGACACGTCTTCCAAACCAACTGGTGTTCTGTATTGTACAAACATTTAGAAATACGGTACACAATGGAATATCGAATTTCGGGGCTAATTATATATATATGTGCTGTATGAATATGCCTTGCTTTTACTCCAATGCATGGTTCTCGTAAATCTTTATCTATTTAGCAAAAACACTCACGTCGGGATCCCGTCATAGTCACCACCAATACCCACGTGGTCCACACCAATGAGATTTTTTATATGGTCCACATGATCTGTTGATTATAGACAAAGGATTTGAAGACATAAAAAACAAACAAAATAGAATTTGGATAGGAGAACGGGTAGGACAGTGAAGGATGAGAAGGATAATGGGATCGGATAAGATAGTATAGGACATAAAGGATAGTAGGAGTTGAATAGAAGGACAGTGGAGGAGGAGTAGGATTAAAGGGTTGGGTAGAATAATCTACCTTTCTGTAGTTTACAGAACTACATATCTGTGTATTACAGTGCCTTAGTATCTAAAATAGGGTGATCTATGAAATTTATTTTAGTCTATTTTTAAAAAAAAAACCTAGTAAACAAAGAGACTGCCAAAATAAACAAACATAGGTTATCAAAGATTACAAAGTTCACTTCAGCGAATGTTTATCTGATTTTCGTCCGCAAGGCGTAGTGGTTAGAGCGTTCGCTCCAAAGTCACGGAGTAAAGAGTTTATATTAACTTCAATTTCCCAAAATATTGCAAAATTCACTATCATGATTCTAAGGCGACGATATATATATATATATATATATATATATATATATATATATATATATATATATATATATATATATATATATATATATATATATATATCCACTCGACCCCCCAACCCCTGTTCTCACGGCCGTGTCGTTAACTACTCGGCAGCATGCTCTATTTAAAACATTCCAGATTTAAAGCCAGGACTCCATCATGTCTTTATCTCGTCGCCACTGAAATTGACATTTAAAATCTTAAGTTGACATCATTAAATATCTTTTGTTTAAAGGACTTATCGCATGTATCTCAATTACTCGAAATTAAAAAGATTATGTTACAGTACATGATGTCGTCGGCGACAATATGTACATACCCTCACTGCACATATTGTCGTCTATCGGTACATATTGTCGTCGGCAACAGTATGAACCGAGACGAGCCTTTTTTTCCTACTGCATAATGGACAATAAATTGTACAGTCACGCATTTGGTCGTCGGCGACAAGATGTACTCTGAACATTTGCACATTTTGTCGCCGATGTATTGTGTTGAAGAATATTTACTAAGGTCGTGGAGAGAGAGAGATTGGCACACACACACACATAGAGACAGACAGACAGAAGGATAGACAAAGTGTATGGCAGATAAATAAGGAAACTAGTTGTATTTATTTAGCCTTACTCGCAATACTGTAGGGAGAAAAAGTTTTGGTAAGAAATGGTGTGCATTACTATGATATGTAAAGATACCGTAATTCTTGAGATATCTGATAAAACGGCCTATTCTTTTTTCTCTTTATAGTTTATATTTACTTGGAGATTGTGTTGATTTTTTATTCAGTAGTAATGATTACCTAAAAATAATTTTTATACAGTGCCGATGTAATTGGTGTTGGGGTTGACATATTAGCCCACCTGAGCTGAAAGCTTTTCTGTTCACATTTTGTCTGTTATCCGTATGTTCGTGAGTCCGTCCGTAAACTTTTCACATTTTCATCTTCTTCTCAAGAACCACAGGGCCAATTTCAACCAAAATTGCCACAAAACATCCGTGGATAAAGGGGCATTCAGGTTTGTCCAACTGAAAGGCCATGCCTCTCTTTCAATGAAGTAGTTAAGAGTTAGTGAAAATTTAGTGACATTTTGTAAAAATCTACTCAAGACCTTTGTTTCAGAAAAGTTGAAACTTATGTGAATGCTTCATTATTAAGTGTACATTCAGGTTTTTCCTATCGTGTCCCTCGGGGGAAGGGTGAGGCTATAATAGGTGATCAAAGTTTTCCAAAGAATTAGAAAAAAATCTTTCAAAATCTTCTCAAGAACTACTGGGTCAGAAGAGATGATACTTATGTGAAAGCCTCAATACATAGTTTACGTTCAATTTTATAGGTGCTGGCACGAATAAGATCTCTCAACTCACTGCTCAATGACCCTAAGTGCCGAGTATAAGTCTTAATTTGCAAGTGTTGACGTTTCCATATGAGTGAAAAATTCACGAGAGGGACGTTAAAACAACAAACACACTAACTAAAACAATTCTGTTCAAATGTTCAAATCATGACACCCAGGATACCAAAGGCGGACCCTCCCCGTTTTATTTTTTCTTCTTTTGTAAATTATATTTATTTAACTTATCTATACTCTCAATTTAGTCCACAGGTAAAATTTCATATTTAATGATTTACTTAACATGATTATACAGTAACACACCTTCACACATAAATGACTTTTTTCTGCTTGTCAAAAAAAAAATCTCAACCACACCTCCACCCCGTTCTAAAATTTCTGGATTCACCACAGAGAACAGCAGTAGGCCCGTGATAAGTGTTGTTTAAATGGAAGCATCCTCATGTAGTGTAGATTCAAGTATAATCTTCAAATCAAGACTCCCAGATCTAAGGTGGGCCACGATGGGCGATCAAAGTTTTACATTGGGATATATGGGGAATTTTTTCTCAAAATCAGCAAGGCAGTGATCAGTCATATTTTATGGAAGCAACTCCATGCGCTGTCATGTGACATGTACTGATTATTACATGGCTATGTAGGATATGTTAAACACTCGTCTCAGTTACATAACTTGCATATCAACGAAGGGATACAATTAATTCAAATATATTAGTTTTGCATATTTGTTATGAGATACATTGAAATATTATGTAGTGCCATCGACCTTCTTCCTTCCCGGATATACCAGGTAATCTAACACGTTCAAAATATACGAGGGTTGTCCCAGAAAAACGCGAACTTTTTCAATATTTTTCGTTTCACTAATATTATAAAGTTAAAAATTGCCATGCTCCATAATCAATATTTTTTTTTTACATAATTCACAGAAATTTCAATAAAATATCTCTATAAATAACATTTTTCTCTCTGATAAACGAATCTTTCAAAGTAGCTCCTGGCGCAACACCGACAACGTCAAAACGTAGCTCGTGGAGTTTTTGAATTTGTTCACGAATCGTGCGTCTTTAAAAATTCGTTCGAAGCAGAAATTCGATATTGCATTTGATTTTCTTTTAGTTACCGAGTTATCCATTTTACACGTACTACAGTTAAGAATAAAGGAATTCATTCTTTTAATAGACAATTTCCCAACCCCGATCATAAACTTAACTGCTCGCATAGTTAACGGCAGTATCCACGTATGACGTCCAGCTCTAGACTTTTCAGTTTGTCGTCATTTTTGCTGGTCTACAAAACGCTTCTTCCATCGGATAACCAGTCCATCCATCTTTGAACCTCTTTTACCATGTATAAACCAGTGTTCGATACATGTATTTGTGTCGTTCCTTCGTTCTAGCTCTTTTCCCGTATAAACAGGAGTCATACTCTGCACCACGCAGTACTGAGTGATAATTTGGTGCGCCGCATTATCGCTTGACATCGCCGTTTTTGACAATATCTAACTAATAGTGTTGTGTCATATACATGTAACGTCATATTTTTGTTATTTATGATGTCAAAGCATTAATTTTTTCACACGAGTACTCTAGATCGTACAGTTTCTATGGATGTAATTTTTGTTACATTATATTTCCGTATAACCTTGTAATAAAGAAAACATAGATGGCAATGCTGTAATTTTGAAAGTAAAGAAATTGCCGTGCGCCGACCACCAATATTTAACAACCTTTGAATGCTGTTTCTAATTGCCTATGACATTCCAACCTCATAGTATTTGGTCAAAATGACGAAAATATTATGTCCCAGCATTGTACCAAAAATGAATAATTTTGGTAAGGTAGTTTATGAAATATTTAAAAAGTTCGCGTTTTTCTGGGACAACCCTCGTAGATATCTAAATAAATAATGTATTAAGTATTATCGAAACAAATCATGACTTAACCATCCCTCCGTTTTCAAACAATTTATGAGAAAATTAACTTAAGCAGGAAAAAAAACCCTAAAAGGTGCACAAGTTTGTTGACTTTGTTTTGTGGGATTATTGATATAAACTTTTCAAACAATATCACGCTTGTCTGTTTTTCTCTATCATTTTTTCCTCGCGAAATTTAATTATGCACCAAGGTCTTCTTGTGCTTTTAAATCGCAAACACCTATAAAACGATAAATCGAATAAAGCGCAGCAGCTTAATGTCAGGCGAATTATTGGTTCGGTCTTTTCTTCCTATTTTCTATCTTTCAATAAGCATAAATCTCATAATGGTGCGTCGTTTAAGCAAAACATAATCTGATTTTACTTCGTAAATGAATTAAAAGTGGAAATGTAGGAGACGATATTTCCCTATTTGTTCATTTCATCCGTCCAGAAAGATTTCTTTAAGAGGTGACTACACCGTTAAAAACCTATTGGTCCATTTTTATTGACTTGAGTCGTAATCAACAGATGGCACAGCAAAGAACATGTCGAATGATTACACTACTTGCAGTTCAAACTACAGGTATATTATACATACTGTATGTTGATTTCTAAGGGAAGCCCATTTAAGACCTACCAAAAACATTTTTGAATTCGTTATATCAATTTGCAGAATTCGTTATAAGGAAATTAATCTGTTTTCACCCTTTATCAACTGTGTTTTATAATCTTTGTCAATAATCTATATTGACGATTCTGAGAGGCTGCTTATACAGTATATATCAATTTGTTATTGTATTAATATTCTGCAGGCAAAAGTTTAACTGACAACTGATATTGGATTAAGCAATGCTTTTTTCCCATCAGGTAATATCGAACTGTTACCACGCGAATTGTAATAAGAACACAAAGTGTAATAAACCGGGATTATTGCATTTTGCGTTATTACATTTTGCGTCGATATCAACGCAATGTAACAACGCAAAATGTAAAAACAGACTTTCGGATTGTTACATTTTGCGTTATTACATTTTGCGTCGATATCAACGCAAAATATAATAATGCAAAATGTATTAACATGATTTTGGATTATTACATTTTGCGTTGTTACATTTTGGGTCGAGATTAAGCAAAGTGCAACAACGCAAAATGTAATAACACACTTTTTGGTCAGTCAGGTTGAGAATAATTTTCAATTTAGTGGATGAAGAAAATAAGAGGAAAGAATATAAAACAAAAGAAAAAATATACATATATGCTTATTCTTACATTAGATCTGATTTCATCATATATTGATTTCATTAGCCATTTATAATCAGTTGATATTCAAATCTTAATTGTTGCAAATTATGTGTGTGTGTGTGGGGGGGGGGGGGAGGGGGGAGGGGAGGTTATTTCTATGATCAGTGTATCAGTTTGCTTTTGCTTTTTGATAGGCTCATGCATGAAATTAAAAAAAAAAGCTATTTATTTTTACTGGCAGGTGTAAATATAGCGGGAAGGGGGTTTCTTGACAATTAAGATTTCATACTGTTTTACAAATCATTGCATTGCAGACCAGCAAAAATAAATCTCTCTCTCTCTCTCTCTCTCTCTCTCTCTCTCTCTCTCTCTCTCTCCAATAATAAAACGGATAGTTTCGCATGCACATAAAAATACAATGATCAACATACTAAGTAACCTCCCGCTTCTCCTCGCCAGATACACACCTGCGCTCCTAATTTGCTAACCAATGTACACACGACTTCGTACATACATATCAAGGGCTTTTAATGAACCCGTGGTCAATATTTGGTAATTAAGAATTCAGTGAGTGATACATGATACAGACTGATTTGTAAATAGACATGTCAATCAAAGTTAAGTTAATGTTTTATGAGTATTCAATAAAAATGTTAGAAACAGAGTTTAAAAATATACAATTAGATTTAGTAATGTCCGTAAATGACGTAACGTCTGTCTCATAGTCATAGGTCTGTCTGTCTATTTAGTAAAGCGAGTTTCCCCATTGTTATATATTTAAATCAGTTTTGTGATGTTTCGCGTTGAACACAACTTAATGCCAAAAAAATAATTATACATGTATTTTGTTTTATTACGTTTTATTTACATTTTGCGTTGTCTTCAACGCAAAAATTAAGTAACGCAAAATGTTACGACCAAAAAGTGCATTATTACATTTCGCGTTAATCCCAACGCAAATGTAATAATCTAAAAATCATGTTATTACATTTTGTCTTATTACATTCTGAGATGTTCTCGACGCAAAATGAAATAACTCAAAATGTTTATTACATTTTGCGTTGTTATTACATTTCGCGTTGTAACATCGCACTTTTTATGAAAAAAATATACTTGAACGTTTGACATATTTTCTCCTGCCTTTGATAAAAATCTCCAAATTTCATTGGTCTAGAAGAATACCGTATTAAACCATATCATGCTGCATACCGACATGAAATTGTTTATAAACCGTTTTCGCGTGACCAGATATCAATTCAATATCGCCCTGCATTCGTCCTATTGAGCACATATCAAATCCATATATAAAACCGTTTTCACTTGACCTCGCAAGAAGCCTTGTTATTAAAGTGTAGTCAAATGAGAATCAGATGACGTCACAATGTAAACAATGGCTACAGAAGGGTTTGTTCGCTTAGAGAAAATTAACTTTAATGGAGAATCATCCACAGGATAAATTCGTTACGTAGACACTTAATGGGGAAAAAGGACATATGTTGGATTCTTGGAAGAATGTACATTGGACTCGGCTTACCTCGTCAAACATACATTTTTATGCCCCGTAATCGAAGATTCGGGGGCATATAGTTTTTGGCTTTTCCGTCCGTCTGTCTGTTTGTCCGCAAAAACTTTAACCTTGCCCATAACTTTTGATTGGTTGGAGTATGGCTTTCATTGACAAACAAGTTGATGAAACAAGAGTATCAGCAGTCTCGTTTAAAGTCGTCATTTCGTAAGTTCTATGATCGATATAATGACCTTGTCAGCAAATACAATTTATCATTGAGTTAAATTCTGACTAACGTTTTTCATACAAATTGTTAGGCCATTATTTACACACTGAATTGTCGACGGATTTTTTCGTTATTTACCGATCATGACAAGAAGCACACGGCGGGTGTGACCGGTGGGCAGGGGATGCTCACTCCTCCATGACACCTGATCCCACCTCTGATGCTTTAGAGGTCCGTATTTGCTCTACTCCAAAATTTGTATTGTTTAATGGACTTCTAAGCTTGAATACTGTTCGTCGTCTACATATATTTCATACTTAACATGTGTATTCCTTGTGACAAGAGCTTTCTTTGGGTACTTTATATTTGATCTCCTTGACCTTGGAGTTTGTCGCACTTTTGCAAAAGTTTACCAAACTTTAACTTTGGCCTTAACTTTTGAACGGTTGGTGCTAGGACTTTTATACTTCACATGTGTATTTTTGTGAGAAAGACCTATCCTTGGGTATAAATATTTTTGACTTTTTGACATTGACCATGGGGTTTGGCTCACTTTTAAAAACTTTAACCTTGGGTATATCTTTTGAATAATTAGTACTACGACTTTCAAATTTCACAGGTGTATTTGTGTAATGACCTTCCCTTGGGTACCAATAGTTTTGACCCTTTGATCTAAACCTTGGATGTTGACCTACTAGTACTTTTAAAACAAGATGTGTTTGTGAAACACTGATACCCCCGTATGGCAACTTGTAGAGGTTAAACTTTCTCAAATGCAAATCAAATATGTTGGTATCCAGTGTGGTATTGGTGAGGTATTGTCCTGAGAAAAATATACCTGTGAAATATGAAAGCCCAAGCACCAAACATTGAAAATATATGGAAAAGGTTAAAATTTTTCAAAAATAAGTCAAACATCAAGGTCAAATGGTCAAAATTAACGGTGCTCAATGAAAGGCCTTCTCACAAGAAATACACAAGTGAAATATGAAAGCCCTAGCACCAACAGTTCTAAAAATATGGCCAAGGTTAAAGTTTACCAAAAGTAGGTAGAGCTCCAAGGTCAAGTTCAAAGGGTCAAAGTTGTTGGTATCCAAAGGAAGGTCTTGTCATAAGGATTACACATGTGAAGTATGAAAGCCCTAGCACCAATTATTCAAAAGTTATGGTCAAGGTTAAAGTTGGGTAAAATTTGGTAAAACTGGGTCAAACTCCAAGGTCAAGGTCAAAAGGTCAAATATGATGGTACCCAAAGAAAGGTCTTGTCACAAGGAATACAGATGTGAAATATGAAAGCCATAGCTCCACCAATCAAAAGTTATGGGCAATGTTAAAGTTGTTGTGGACAAACAGATAAACAGACAAACACACAGACAGACGGACGAACAGGGCAAAAACTATATACCCCCGAATCTTCGATACGGGGGCATACAAACTTTAACCTTGGCCATAAATTTTGAACAGTTGGTGCCAGGGCTTCCATTTTTCTCATGCTTATTTCTTGTGACTAGACCAACAGTTTCCACCTTTGACCTTGAGGTTGGAGTTTGACCTACTTTTGAAAAACTTTAACCAACAATTTTGATCTCTTGGCCTAGAATTTAACTTGCATTTGAGAAACTTTAAGCTTCACCATAAGTTGCCATACGGGAGCATCTGTGTTTCACAAACACATCTTACTTTTTTTTCAAGGACCCCAAATATTTCCCGTTTACCCAAGTACGTGTTATGTTAACATACGTAATATTATCCCATTTATGAAGAGACTATTCTTTAATAAAGGAGCTTTTGTATAAGTAATAATTTTTTTCTGTCGACTGCTTCTACTAAAATTTTTGACCTCTTTTCTTCCCTCCTCGTCTCTCAGATTACTTTGGTCAATACTTGAAACTATAATGTATAAGGAAGCTTCCAAATTCAGTTTGTAGTTTATGACTCAGTAGTTCAGGAGATGAAAAGAAATTATTCAACATTATCTTCTGCATTATATATCTTCATTTCAAAAAGTACATGGATCTTCATTTTACACCCCCCTTTCCGCTTTTATTCGATCATGGGTAACAATTAATATCTAACAGGATTTCCAACAACTCCAGCACCTCATTGCCCAGTGATCTGTATCAACGTCGCCTATATATATATATATAGAGAGAGAGAGAGATGATTTATGTGTGTGTGAGGGGGTCTGTGTGTGAGAGTGTGTGTGTGGGGGGGGGGGGTGCGTTCCAAAATTCCAGTATTTGATATATCAGAATTTTTCTTAGGATATAAAAACTTCTCGAACATGCTAAAACGTCACCTCTTTTTAAAATATCAAAAAATCGGACCATATTACAGGCCTTTGGGTCGCTTTCTTTCGAGTGATAAAATTGGGGGCCTGTAATACCCCCAGTTTTGTCAGTTGAATATAAGCGATCCGATTAAGGACTGTGGATTATATCTTGTGTTTTAAAACATTTATTATATCGTTCACTTACTTGCTACTTGTTGAACTGTGGCTAAAACGCTGGAATTGTAATGGGGTTTACAATTCACAAAGCTCGGGTAGAAATTAACCATTACAATCCCTCCATTCTTTTTCTTGAAGATTAATGAAAATACTTTAGACTACTACAAAAATGAATTTCATGTTTGATAAAATAAAATTTGTCCGAAATTTAGCCAATCATGCCCTAAAGGACTTATCGCATGTTTCTAGATTATTTGAAATTAAAAGCGTAAAACGTATCTTATGACCACAGTTTATAAATTTTGTATTTTTACTGCGGATAAACCGCGGTAATTAACCAATTATTGACCCAAATGAAAACCCCTGAATTAAAAAAATACCGATCACGTGACCCTGTGACGTCAAAGGCGATAATGGCTGGTCAGCTTTCACGTTAATCTTACTAAAAATATACGCGATACAACCTGAATTTTCTGTGTTGTGGACGACCAAATCACTGATTTTATCGATATGAAATTGAATATCCAACCTTACATTTTAGAAGTGTCCGCAAGAAAAAAATCTGAAAAATCTGTTAACATTGTAAAAATAGCAGCGACGATAGCAGAAGGGAGACGCGGCGAAGACTAATCAGAGAGATCGTACTTAAGTTACATTCGGGAAAAAGAATGAAAGTAGCTGTGGAGAAGATCTTATCGTTTCGTACAAAATAAAGAGCTAAACACAAGACAAAAGCAAATAATAAATATATTTCTGTACAGAAAAGACTCTGGTCGTTCTTTTGACAGGCTACGGAAACCAGGTCACGATTTTCCGTTAGTGTATCATCAGGTCTTTCACTTCTGTAACTGAATTCCGAAATACTTCTAAATTCTTGGAAGCAAACGTTTGATTGGATAATTGAAAAGTCACCAGGTGATGACCCTGAATGGGGTTTCTTCAGATCCTAGTGTTGCGATCTATGTAAGCGGACCAAAGGATCTGATTTTAATCAGATTGATATGCATATTACCGTATTTGAATTTTAACTCTCAATATCTCTTTAAAAATGCAGTCAGCAACGTTTATTGTATTCAGTATTTTAATAAACAAGGTTGTAGATAATATTTTTCATAAAATTACGCCTTTTGAAAGATCATGCGATAAGTCCTTTAGATAAGTATATATCACTCACAGTTGCTTGTTATTCAATTTGTATTCTTTGTTACAACGCGAAATGTAAAAACAACGCAAAATGTAATAACTGGGATTAATACATTTTCTTTATTATGTTTTGCGTCAAAATCAATGCAAAATGTAATTACACACTTTTCAGGATTATTACATATTGTGTTATCACATTTTGCGTCCAGATGAATGCAGAACGTAATAATATACTTTTGATTATCACATTTTGCGTCATTTAATTTTTGCGTTGAGGGCAATGCAAAATGTAATAAATAAAAATGTAACAACACAAAAGATATTAATTTTTTTCATTGTGTTCAAGGCAAAACATCATATTAAAAATATGAATAGGTATTGTGCCGAAGTCAATAAGTCGGCTAGGAGTATAAAGAAAAATGTAATATTCCTGAAACTTTCTTATTAGATTCTGCGTTGATTTCGTCGCAAAATGTAATATCTCAAAATGTGATGATCCTGGTCTATTACATTTTGCGTTGTTATTACATTTCGCGCTGTAACAATGCTTTCTTATTATTCAATTTGTATGCATTAGTGAAATGCATAAAAAATATCAACGCTGAAATATGAACGTTATGTAACTTTCTTTACAAATTTTTGGTTAATGGAACATGACCTTACGCGTTCCGGATATACAATTATATTTAGTACGTGTACATACCAGCATCTGTAGGACGTCGTCCTGTACATTCCTGTAATGATTACACACACTGAAGGCGGAACTGTGGCTAAAAATGACTGGAGCCTCCGAAATATTAAGGCTTGCAATCATTGTAGCTTTTGCAACATGTGACAAATCTACCAGCATTCCAAGACGATTCATCTCTTTGATAACAACCTGAAAGTATTAGTTACCTTATTTACGATTTTTAAACATATTTGATAGAAAAACGCTTTGGAAACTAATTTAGATTAGAACTCAGTTAATTTCTTGGGATTTGCCTGCGCTCAGACCACCTTTGATTTTTCTCTTTAACCCAGGAAATCTAGCAGGAAATCTAGTTTCTACCAAATTGTGACATTAATAAATCCAGACTAAAAAAGGGACAGAGCTGATCATTTATTGAAAATTCGTCAAGAAATTCTTATTAAGTATGCCTAATTGTTTGAATGAATACATTTAGCGAAGTAGACTAAAAATTCAAAATGCATTACAGTTTTAAACATTTTTGTTTTACTCATGATTTGATAGAATTGAATATAAAGGCAACACTGCATCTAAAAGGAGATGGTAAAGATAAAGCGGGGGTTACTCAACTGTCATTAAAATAATCTGATAAGAACCACTGGGCAGCGCGCCCTCCCGATTGATTTTTAGCTCTACTGGTCAGAGACCAGAAGAGCTTATGCGATAGTAAGGTGTCCGTCGTCCGTCCGTCTGTCTGTCTGTCTGTCTGTCTGTCTGTCTGTCTGTCTGTCCGTCTGTCTGTAAACAATTTTTCAAAACGCTACTCCTCCTACAGTTTTGGTCCGATTTCAATATAACTTGGCACACAAGTACACTACACTAAGATACATAATTTAGTGCATCGGTTTTTGATTTCGATGGACGGTGTTGCCATGGTTACTAAAAATAGAAATTTCTGTGAAATTCCTTTAAAACGCTACTCCTACAGTTTTGGTCCGATTTCAATATAACTTGGCACACAAGTACACTACACTAAGATACATAATTTAGTGCATCGGTTTTTGATTTCGATGGACGGTGTTGCCATGGTTACTAAAAATAGAAATTTCTGTGAAATTCCTTTAAAACGCTACTCCTCCTACAGTTTTGGTCCGATTTCAATATAACTTGGCACACAAGTAGACTACACTAAGATACATAATTAAGTGCATCGGTTTTTGATTTCGATGGACGGTGTTGCCATGGTTACTAAAAATAGAAATTTCTGTGAAATTCCTTTAAAACGCTACTCCTCCTACAGTTTTGGTCCGATTTCAATATAACTTGGCACACAAGTACACTACACTAAGATACATAATTTAGTGCATCGGTTTTTGATTTCGATGGACGGTGTTGCCATGGTTACTAAAAATAGAAATTTCTGTGAAATTCCTTTAAAACGCTACTCCTCCTACAGTTTTGGTCCGATTTCAATATAACTTGGCACACAAGTACACTACACTAAGATGCATAATTTATTGCATCGGTTTTTGAATTCAATGGACGGTGTTGCCAAGGTTACTAAAAATAGAAATTTCTGTGAAATTCCTTTAAAACACTACTCCTGCTACAGTTTTAGTCTGCTTCTAATATAATTAGGCATACAAGAAGACTATACTAAGATACATAATTTGTTGCATTGGTTTTTGAATTCGATGAACAGTGTTGCCATGGTTACTTAAAATAGAAATTTCTGTGAAATTCCTTTAAAACGTTACTTCTCCTACAATTTTGGTCTGATTTCAATCTAATTTGGCACACAGTTAGAATACACTACGATACATAATATGTATTTCTGTTTTTTTTTTATTTGGGTGAATGGTGTTGTCATGGTTACCGGTACTAAAAATAGAAATTTCCATGAAATACTTTCAAAACGCTACTACTCCTAGTTTTCATTTGATTTCAATATAACTTGTCACAAAAGTAGACTACATTAAGATACATAATTCTATTTATTGTTGCATGTTGCAATGTTTCAAATCCAAGTGCTACTTTTCTTTTGTTATACAAACAGACCAGTAGAGCTACAGTCTCATCAGAGACTTCTGGTTTTTTATTTTTATGAATTTCGTTTTGTTCAATTAGTCTACATGTTAGGTGATACGGTCCCGAAGAACGTGATGGAGGGGGGATATCAAAAACTGATGTTAAAAGAAAAATGTTTTTAAATGTAGTACTGAGTTCTGTTGAAATTTGACAAAAACTCTCAAGAAAGGTAAACAGAAGATGACACATCTTCAAATAATTATCACAAAGCATTAAATATCTCAATTATTGATTGATGATGATTAAGGTACCATTCGAAAAAATTTCACTCATACAGAGACGTCACCGTATGCCGGTGAAGGTCTTCAATAATTTAGATCTATAGGCCTAATCGGTACTCATGGCATTTAAGCAGTGAGAGTTCTTTATCATGTCAATGCCTACCGTATTGTCGCGCTATCGCGTGATCGTCGTCGCACCATCGCTTCATCGTCATCGCAACATCGCACTATGGACCCAAACCTCGATGGTGCGATGTTGCGACATTGAACTACACGGCTCATCTTGATTCCCATATGTATGGTTTTTTTTCAGTTGTTCGGTTTCAAAGTGCAGACAAAAACCTTTACTTGTTTTATTCCTGTCACTGAAGTTTGTACCTTCCAAACTTCTTTCTAGGGTTATACATGCATCATTAGTTGTTTGTTATGTTAGCGTTATTATGCAGCGTAAGAATTTGAAAAAGGGGATATATACCATTTAAAGGAGCTTTTCAAAATGTGACGAAAAAATTCTCCAATGTTATTTAAAAAGTAAAATTTAGCTCTAAGTTTATCTTCTATCAATAAAACGTTTAGTCTATTTGATATTATGTAAATAAGAAATACCTTGCCAAATTCAGATAGACCGTTGAATTCTGAACTGTTTGTCTGGTCCATGTGCCAGTTGTCTGCCCTTAAAAAGTTTGCATAATCATTTAGCAATGACATTGTTCTTCATATTGACAATACTAAAAACAGACAGATGAACGAATGGAAATCCAAGCTGCTCAAAATTCTTACTCAATAATTCCTTAAACGTATATATGTAAAACTTAGTTTGTAGATTATAGAGTGCAAGCAATTACAATGCGCTACTTTTAATATACATGTATGAACCTTGTATGATTGTAATTTGATTTGTCAACTCATCAGATGTAAATTGTACTTTCAATATTTGGTCCATCAGAAGATTATAGTTTAACTTCACGTATGTGACTGGTCTTATTATAAAAGTGAAATATGAAGATAACAAATAGTTTTATTGTCAACAGATGCTTAAATCCTTACCATGGAGTGTTACAGCTATGAGTTACTGTCATGTACCGTATTCCAAGGTCATAAAACATGCGAAGATTACCAAGACTGCTATCAATGGAATGCCCACCCTCCAGACCCATCAAACTAGCAAATTTCTTTTCATTGAAAGCATCAAGGACACCTGTCCAAAGAATCTAGTTCGTCAGAAAAAAATAAGGTATAATGAATTAATTTTCCAAAGTATGAACAATAGCACCATTCTTAGGCCTGAATCTTGGACCCAGGGCATACGAATTTGATTTGTTAGAGGGTTGTTCATTATATTCAAGCAAACAAATTGACTGATAGGTGGCCAGGGAGATGTGCATGATCCCTGCTTCAACCCAGTGGACATAAGATTTTTTTGATTCTGGAATATTTTCAAAGGTGTGATGCATTTTCAATAATTTTATAGACAACTTAGCAGATATTTGGTATACAAGTTTGCTGCACACCCTTTATCAAAGGGCTCTTGTTTGGTGAAATATTAGTCAGATTGGGTAAATGGGAAAGAAAGTTTGCTTCGGACACATATTTTACGAAGAAATCTTACCTTGACGTTTAACCTGGAAAGGATCAAGATCACTTTATACCCAAGCTTTACCCATAGACACTCTTTGTAAAATACGAACCAGATTCGGCCAAGGAAAGAGATAAAAACGGCGGACAAGTAATATCAGATGGACGGACAATAACTACATGTATGTATTGCCCTTACAGCGGGCCTTTCAACATACAGGTTTGTTTAATATGATTTGCGCTGCATCTTTTTATATTTGTAATTGTATAGTATTATTATTTAAATGCACTTACCCTGTGCAGTTGTGACAAACTTGAAGACGTCAGGGTACTTAGCAATGAATTTTTTAACTGTATCTACTTGATCCAAGGAGAGTTTGACCGCGTCCTTGTATTGACTTTTACAGTCAACATACACAGCCCAAAACTAAACAGTGTGCAAAAATTTAAAAAATAAATTTTGAAAACACACACACTTTTTAATGAATAAATTAAAAAAAAAATGAAGACAAACAACAAAACATCGTTTATGTAAAAACATTAAACTTAAAATGTGAATAGGGTTTCAATTTCTTGGAGATCTAGACATCGTGAACAAATTCTAGCTTTGAATTTAGCTCATGTTGCAATTGTTAAATACACATGTATAATACCAAAATTAGTTTCAAGTGTTACGTTTAGAAGAGTGGTTATCTAATTCAGAAGCTACAATTAAGCCACAGGTATTTGACGTGTAAACTTTTTCTTTGCAATTAAAGAAAAATCCCATATTATAGACTAAGTATGAATTTGTTTTTAAATTACAAAGGAATAGGTTTAAACATCAAGTACTTGAGCTCCAAGTATGTGTTTTGTCGGTTTCTTTAGAGGGAGGTCGTATTCTTACCTGGGCTGATAACTTTCCTTGACGTAACCTCGGAATATCAGAGTGGATTGTTGAGTTTGGGAACACTTCTTGAAGGTTTTGTCTCATGTCCACAGTGTAGACCTTGTTCTGAACATTTTCATAGTACCAATAAGCCAGGTCATTGTGTCTAATAAAAATATAAATAAGATCCATATAGATAAAATGGGAAATGATAATTTTTTTTTTACTATTCGCTTATATATTATCGAGATAGAGAAAGAATTGTTTATAATGTCTATCTACCGGTTAATTAAATTGCGTCCGAGTGTCCCCTTTTAAGTCAATGATTTAAAAAGTGTACATGCATGTGGTTTTCAGACATCTAGCAAAAGTATCTTACAATTTAAATAAGAAGAATTACGTGATGTTTTAGAGACTTCAGTGCATTATCTTAAACCGAAAGATCAAGCATCAATGAACTATTCGGTGTAAATGACAAACAAAAGCTGAGATGCAAGCAATTTTAACCTAAACTGCAAGAAAACTTCCTTGAAACCCAAGAAACCGCAAAGGAATGGAGTCAATTAAAAATACTTGATCAGATATCCGTATCTCGTAACCAATGTGCACTTGATCCATGTGCATAATATATGTGCCATCTTTTGATTTTTTTTTTTTTTTTTTTTTTTTTTTTTTTTTTTTGTTGGATGCTCTCCCTTTCTCAGGGAAAAGTCGTGTGCAAAGAAGAAACATCAAATACGTTCGAACAAATATGTGATTCGCTAAATTGTCCAAGTAAATATCCAGCTTAACTTTCTTCTAGGGTATGAGTATATAATTTTATACTTAATCGTCCGAAGAATTTGATTATCCACACAGATATTATGTTCGTCCGAACGAAGAACTAACTTGACAGAACTATCATCTTTTTTGTCAGAACAAATATCTTACTCGTCCGAATTATTTTTTCTGGGCTTCAACAGCACTGTGTAGGAACGGAACAGGGTAAAGTGTGTTACCCTAGTCTAAGATGGCGATAGGCAAAAACGCTTCACATATTGGTTATTTATAGCGTAAAGTTTTAGGGTAAAGTTTCTGAACTATTTATGTTATTTACAATTAGGGTTTTTCGAGACTAGGGTAAAGTTATTTATTCTACAATCTGATTGTACACGATTTTGATTTTTTAACTGCTTTATACAATTTAAAATATAATTGGAAAAGGCTTTCCCGAAAATGTTTAAGAACTGTTGCTTCCACAATCCATACAAAAAATATTACACTTATTATGTACGTTATATTTATATAATAGTGTTGTACTTTGCATGCACTATGCCTAAATAGTAGTCAGGGTTTGACACATGGTGCACGAGCCGGAGGCGAGTGCACTATGTGTCAAACCCTGACTACTATTTAGGCATAGTGCATGCAAAGTACAACACTATTGTAATTATTATGCTGACTGTTGTATAAAAACGACAATATTTTCTCCCTTTCCAATGTTTCATCACCTCTTACATTCATGTTAGTACACCCCTATTATGACGTCACATTGTGCTACATGTACGTCATGATCTTTTGTCTTTAATATTTTGAATGTTCCATGTACAGATAGGGTAAGTCGGGGTAATTTCGACCACCGTTTAATTTCGACCACAGAAATACAACACCACACAATGATTTACGGAAGTGATGAAACAAGTTTCATTAATATTTGGAATAAAAGGAAACTATTACACAAATTGGTTTTCTAGTATAATTATTCATCGCAAATATGGTTTGATCAGAGATTTAAATAACATTTTTACTATTATTTATGTCTCCAGTTTGATGTTCGAAGACCGTCTGATCAGTGCGCTTGAGTTGATCGAGGAAATGCAAGAGAGCAACTCATATAATCTCTTTTTAAAGTGTAACCTTGTTCAACATTTAACAGTACGAATTTAATTGAAATTGTTTTATTTTTTCTTGGGATATCTTAAGTTGCAAAGTTTTACAAGATTATCTTGGATTTCCCTCAAAAAGGACAAGAAACTCCTGTTTGAGTTTGGTCGAAATTACCCCCACTGTAATTAGGGACGCGGGGTAAATTCGACCACTCATTCTCATGATCCTGTAATATGTGTCGGTTATCTTTAACAATTGCGTCAGATCCTCAAAATGAAATTTAATATACTGTATATGAACAATATAATCTACATAAAACTTTCATTTTTTTTTTTTTAAAAATTGGATTAATTAATATATGCATGCCTAGCTATATATCGAGCGCTATATTGTCTGGGTCGTGAGGGTACATCACTGATCAAGATGCGAGAGAACTGCTATGAAAAAAAACATGACGAGAGCAATCCAAAATATTCCAAAACTGTCAAATTAATAAAAGGGAAGAGAGGATGCAGGCAATATTAAATATTTTTAAAAAATCAAATTTTTGTATTTTTTTTCTAATTATTACGAATGCGTTTGACGGACAAGACTTCGAGGCTTTCGAAAACCAGGAACTATCAGTATTCAGATCGTATATCACAAGGTACAAGTATGAACAAATCCAAATAGTATGCAAACTATCAGAACAACACACCAAAAGAGCTGTAATCTTTACTTTTAAAACAAAAACCTATGATGTTACGAAATAATTGATTTGTTTGTTTATTATTATATTTGGGGGGGGGGGGGTTGGGGGGGATCGTCGGAACCCACGGATTTTCTCTCCGTTATACTACATTCAACTGGGTTGTATGTAGTGTAACGGAGAGAAAACCTGTGGGTTCCGACGAAAGGGGGGGGGGGGGGTCGATCAGAGGACATTGCTTGCGTAAATCTCTTCTTTAATGACAGTTGAATTCCTCGGGATTTATCTCAGTCTTTTAACAAAACACATTTTTTGTTTATTTTTAAAACAATACTGTACGAAATACTACACATTTCAAATTAATTTGTACAGTACTGAAAATGTATTAAAAAAAAAAAAAGCGCAGTTCCTATGCCGTGCACACTTTAAACCAACCTGTTGTTAAAAGACGATATTGAATAAAATACATTTCGGGTTGGACAGTTTAATAATATTAATTATTAAAGATTGTGGAGTCTGAGAAATATGATTTATTTGAATAACTATTCAAAATATAGAGTTGGTGAAAGATGCAGAATTGAGAATAAAGAATAACAATTACATATAGATGTCTTTGGCAGCATTGAAAAACTTATGTAACCCAAGCCAATTCTTTACTGAATCAACAAGCATTATCCAATGTAGTATTTTCTTAATGAGGAAAAATAGTTTCTTCGACCATAAATTTCAAAGAAAATGCGACAGATTGAGCTTATTTACATTGCAAGAGGTCGCCCGCGTGGCGCAGTGGTTAGAGCGTCTGCTCTAGAGTCGCGGAGTAAGGAGTTGATCCTTATGTCGCGGGTTCGAATCCCACTGTGGGACGTGGAGACCGGTCCTTCGGATGAGACCGTATAAACCGAGGTCCCGTGTCGCTGTAGGTGCTGGCACGAAAAAGATCCCTCACTGCTAAATGGCCGTAAGTGCCGAGTATAGGACAAAATTTGCAGCTCTCCACCGGCAAGTGGTGGCGTCTCCATATGAGTGAAAAATTCTCGAGAGGGACGTTAAACAACATACAAACAAAACATTGCAAGAGTTATCTTTCTTGTTTATGTTTGTTGTGGTCGAAATTACCCCGAGGCTGGTCGAAATTAACCCATACAACAGGCTTACTAATTTTTAGACCAATTTATTATATTTCATGCATTTTTAACTCGTAAAGCAGAAAAATATGAGGAAAAATCATTCTTTTGTACTTTGAACTTATTTTAAACTAGTACATTTGAAAACAATCGTGTTTTGGGGATTGAAAGCCATATATCAGCAAAAGTGGTCGAAATTACCCCAGTCTACCCTAGTTGAGAAATTTAGTTGTGTGAAGGGTAAAAAATTGCAAGATACTATTTTATAAAATTATTTTGTTTATTTTTTTTTCTTTTAATGTAAAATCTTTGAAACTAAGTTTATATATATTATAATACAGTGTTATAGCGTCTGTAGCGTAATCGGTAGCGCGTCGGACTGATAATCTTGGGGTCGTGAGTTCGATCCCCGGCGTGGGCGCTGTCGGATTTTCTTCAGAAAAAGAAGCCGTGCTCTATTTCGGCATAGTATGCTTACGCTATATAAATCCTTAGACCACTATGCGAAAATAGTTGGGTATTGACTATGTAGAGACAAGCTGACAGGAAGCATAATAATTTCTGTTTCAGGTACATATATTATTTTATTGTTATAAATATACATGTATAAATGATGTAATTAATTTGATTTAACTTTAAGTATTGTTTCCTGTATAAATCTAAATCTACTTTTAATCCCCACTTTGGGCGAAATCATCGATAATGAGTTAACAACCTATATTTAATTTGCATTTGTTGGTATTCGACAGTAATGGAGTTAAATCCGCATTGCGGGTGATTGAAATAAACTTTTATCAACTGAAATGCGAAAATAACAGTAATCATGCTCAAGGTCCAATTTAACAATACAAATTGTGAGAAGAGCAAACAAGGACCTCTGAAAACATCAGAGGTGGGATCAGGTGTCATGGGGGAGTAGGCATCATCTTTCGATCGGTCACCTCCAACACGTATTCTTTGTTTTAATCAGATAAACGGAAAATGGGTTCACATTTCAGTAAGAAAATAGTGAACTAACAATTTATATGAAAGACTCAGCCAACATTCGAGCTAACAACATAATGTTTTTGCTAAGAAGATCATTGCATTGACCATAGAATTTGCGAAATGTTGGCTTTAAACAGAATTAATGATACCCTTACCATCAACTTATTCGTCAGCAGTCTGCACCGTTTTAAAAATTGTTCGTACGAAAACATGCTCTAGCTTATTGAGTCCGCTGGCGACATAAACCTTAATTGCAGGTGATAACAAATATTTGAGACGTTGATGATTATGATAAGGAGTTGGAGTCATCGCGTTTATCATAAACTTTTAAGCTTAGGTGTTAGTTTATCATCAATGTCTTTGTATAAATATGTAATGTGTCAAAATCTGTGGTATCTTTTATTGAGTTAATGGGACATATCGAATCAATGTTTGAATGAAAATTGAATATTGTTAATATTGACAACATATTATCAATATATCTAACTTTTAAATTGAAGG